AGGGAGAGGTTGCCCCTGTGCTCCTCCAAAAACAGCTCGGAGCTACGCATTTCAGTAAGGATTGGATCTCTGAATGACTTAAATTTAGTTTGCAATTGAGCATGTGGAAGACGGCATAACTTTTATTTAACCTCTTCAAAAGGTCTTGGCCTGGCCCTCCCAAGAACAACAAGAACCTGCCTGTTTTGCATCTACTTAATGTGCTTTTCCAACGAGGGTGGGTGGGTGAGGGTGTTTGTTGCTGTTTGCTCCAGATATACCCCATGAGGATGTTGTGGTTCCCGACAGCTTCAGAGGAGTTGCACAAAGAGTCTTGTCTATGCCTGAAGCAATGGCAGATCTGCTAGGCGGTTGTGAAGGCAGGAAGAGAAGCAAACGAGGAGGGCGGAAGGCATGGTGCAGAAAAGGAGAGGCATTGTGGCTTACAAGGATTTAGGTAGAGTCAGGAAGATGCCATTGAGGAAGGAGTCCGTGGGTCTTATCCTGGTGGGTTGGTCATGCCGTTTTTCCTGCTTTTGAAGATTTGCTTCCTCCGCTTCCCCTGTTTTTCCTCTGCCATGCCAGCTCCACCAAATGGAAAGATGCAAAAGATCAAATTCTCCCTCACCATGGCTACAGCAACTTACAAGGCCTAACCCACTGCATTGTTGCCTAGGCTTTGCTTTCCACCACTGTTGCACTCATCATCCCACAATCATTGATCAGAGTTGTAATTAAACATGTCTGAAAAAAGGCTGTAGCAAAATAATGCCTGTATGGTTGAGGATATTGCCTTATTATAGGTCGTCTTCAACTTACAACCATCGCTTAGCAACTGTTCAAAGTTACAGCACACATACACAACACACCCAAGGCTACTTACAACCCAGATTTGATGTACTGATGTGCGTCCCCACACACACACAAACATACACACAATCAGATGATCGCATTTTTGGTGCTCAGCAATCAACCCACACTTACGACTGTTTGCAGTGTCATGTGACTGCAATTTCCAGCAAAAAATAAAATAAAATACACCATTGCACTTCACCACCATCACATTTGCTTGCTGCAGTGATTCTCTTAACCACCACTGCAAAAAAGGTTGTAGAATCAGGTACAATCTGTGACATTGTAGAGAAGGAGTGAGTGGCCAGCAAATGACTGTCCCTCTGAAAGGAGCTTCAAGACATAGACGTTTTCAAGCCCAACCTTTTTTTTCTTTTTCAAAACTACAAAAATAAAATTATTATTTTTTTATTTTAAGGCCCCAGTGGTCTCTCTCTTCTCACCTCTTCAGCCCAACCCACTGAAGCATAACACCATATTGCCACCATTTGCACCAACAATTGTAGGGCATGATCCAGAAGTACAGATATATCAACAAAGAAATCCCTCACACCGATTTTGCTGTGTTTAACTGGATTTTCAAGGAATTCCTCTTTCTTTGTGATCCCATTTCCCATTTTCTTTGGATTTGACTGCCGCCGATTCACAAAAAAATACTTGAACTGTGCATTTGTGCTTTTAATAAGAACAGAACTTGGAATCGTGTTTTTTTTCCAGAACAATTTGAATGAGATCAACTTTCCCAAATCTAGTGCTACTGATTGAATTAAGCTAATTCAATGATTTAATTAAATTCTGCTATATCAATTACAGCAGGATACGGAAGTGTTTAGAAACTGTTTAAACAAATCAAAATAGGGAGAAGTGTTGGCACTCCTCTGTAAATGCTTCTTTGATACACTACGGTGCTGTCTAATTTATTTTCCAGAAATATTCCTTTGCCTGCTTCTAATTTTGCGTGATCCTCCTGAACTTTGCATCAGTAAGTTTTTCCCTCACTTGTCTCTGGAATTATCCCTCTCTAACCTGCAGAGACTTCCATTTTAAGATGGGAAAGCTGCTTTGTCTTGCTTTTCGTTGCCTTTTCAGCACCTCTTATCAGTTTCATTACGAATTCATTTGTTCCCTCCTTGTGGTTTGAGGTGATGAAGAATGGAACCAGAGCTTTCAGGTTTTGATTGCTAGATTACTCAGTGAAAGATTTAGTTTGACTTATTTTTGAACTGCACGTAGAAGGGTAAAGTTTTGGCAAAAAGGGGAAAACCATTTTAGCACTGCAAGAAAGAGGAAACACATCTTTTTTCAGTTTAATGGATGTCCCAGAATCAAATGTTGTGTTGCAGGTGGTACTAGTGGAATAAAATTGCATACTATAAAGGCAAACCCCTAATTCCATGTTTATCTGCCATGAGAGGATTTGAACCTTGATGGAAGTTGTAGAATTTGGTCAACCAATCCCTCAAAATGAGACATGGGATTGGTGGTACTTGCCTTCAAGAAAGTATTGAGTTGTAGAAACCAAATAATGATTTCTGACTTTGCATTTCAACTTAGGAGGAGAGAAGCCAATGTCTTTTATAGTATCTCTTACTTCTTCCTCCCTTGATTTGCTGTACTGCTACGCAACTTGTATTTTTAAAATAAAAAAAAAAAGAAATCAAAAATAAAATCTTGTTTCTTTGCTCAGAAAAAAATCTGGATCTGAATTTTCATCCCACTTAAAAATAACAAGAAATTTATTTGAGGCCGAGGCCTTCTTGGCTGCAGATTCCGAAAGACCTCAGTTTTTTACTCTTATTGATCATTCTTCTGGATCTTTGAGTAGCTTACATACAGTCGGAAAACTGGGTGGCCTGGAAGATACAACACGAAAAGAAAAAGGGGAAAAAAAGCAAGGAGTAGGGCTGGGAGTGGAGCAAACCTTGCAGTGGTGGGATTCATCCGGTTCGCACCTATTCGGGAGAACCGGTTGGTAACTTTCTAAGCAGTTTGGAGAACCGGTTGTTGGAAGAAATCTCGTTTTTTTCCACTTTACAGGGCTAATTCTATAAGGAAGGCAGGAAGGAAACATTCTGGTGTTGTTTCTAGCCTAATCTATATTGCCCCACTTACAGAAACTGCCTCACCGGTTAACCCTTATTACATTGTAATGTTGAATGTTTATTTTATTTCATTTTGAATGTT